GATCTAGAGGATGCCACAAAGAAAGTTTGCCTGGTGGACACATGGACACAGGTTGCCCCTCACATGAACCATCAATATGGGTAAAAGGCGGAGAGGACAGGGGGCTTGACTCTACTGTACACTTTGTACTGATTATATGAAGCCTGGGAGAGGACAGAGGACTGTGTTAGAAAGACATCAACCCTGCATTCTGATTTCCTTGCATGGCAGAAGATGTGAATCTTCTCTTCGTTTGGTTAGTTCACACCCTCGTCTCCATTGATTTTTGCTTCGAGGTTTATTCTAAAAGAATGCAGACACCTCGCTCCACAATTATGTTTACTTTTTGTGCTGGTTTTGGATAGTTCCCTTCGTTCAAATGAAGTGATATTAATTTTAACACCACATCAGTAGAGGCTGTTATAGCAGCATATTAATGCCCATGCCTATGGAATGTTCAGCAGTCTCGTGTGTTCACATACTTCTGTACGAACTCAAAAGCCTTGAAGGAATACTTCACCCACAAAATTAACATTTGTGTATCAATCAACCCTGTGTTACCTTGAATTCATTAAGAAACCCTTAATTTAAAAACATTTCCGGACGAGTAACTTGTCGACGATTATTATTTTGGAGAAGATGCATGTGTTTTGGAAGTAGTGAGCATACGACTTAAAATTGAATTATAGTGCACGATTTGTACGAGAGTTTGTAAATGGGTGATTTGGTATAGTTTTGCTTTGATTAAACCGGCCCGGCCCCCATTCACGTCAACTAATCAAGACTTTTATCTGTTTTTTGTGAAACAGGTGCTCCAAGCACACGGAGAGGCCAAGCGCAGGGAAACATTCGTGCACTGTACCAGAACCTCCACAGCGGACAACATTCTTGCCCAGGTACGAAATCGGTTCAAAGACCATGAGAAATTAAAGTTTCTCTCCCTCCTCGACCCCCAGCAGTTTCAGGCATATCGGAAGAAATTCCCGGATTCGGCCTTCTCCAACCTAATGCAGAGTCACGGATCTCTGTTTGATGATCTGACACAGCTTAAAACAGAACTGACTGTAATGTATGCCATGACTGGCTTTGAAGGAAAAAGCCCTGCTGATCTACTGGCTTTCCGTCAGCAGAAAGATCTGGTGGCGAGCATGCGCCAACTTTACGCACTGGCATGTTTGGCGGTGACGATACCAATATCGACTGCCTCTGTCGAGTGGACATTTTCAGCCCTAAAATGGATCAAAATCTATTCCAGAAACGCAACTGGGGAGGTTATTATTAATGAGGTTATTAGGTTATTCAACTTTAGTAAAACGGCACAGAAGGCCCAGGTAGAAAATGCACGGCCCGCCACTGCATTATATTCGTTCATGATAAGTGCATTATTTCCGACGGTATATGCTAAACTTTCTCCACAGCCCCCAAAAAAGGGGGCGATCGGGCTTAAGTAAATTTTAAGACAAGTGAGCTAGCTAGTGTGGCTGTACTGTACAGACATGCTTTGAGCTAAATGCTCAAAGTCTACATGCTAGCATGCTCTCAATGACAACTAACATTCTGATATTTGGCAGGGAGAACTTTTACCATGTTCACCATAGTTGTTTACCATGTTAGCATGCTATCATATCTTAATTAGCAGTAAACACAAAGCACAGCTGCGACTGATGGGAATGGGAAAAAATAATTGTTTTGCAGGTATTTGATCATAGAGGAATTGGACAAAATAAAATTTTACCTGATGATGGGTGTATAAGAAAAGTCAGAGGATCACCAAAGTTTATCCTGAGGGGCATATGAGTGCAACCTGACCCTCCAGATGGTTCTGTTACACAGAACGAAAGTTACAAATGTAACTACGGTTCTATGAATCCTGGATGACCGCCAAAGGCAGTGCTTAACACTGGATATCTTCTGTTTCGCGCATGCACAGGTCGAGTCTTTATATCAAAAAAGTCACCTGTGACCTCGGATGACCCCTGTCGTCTATAAGTTCCGGTGTCATCCTGAGATCAGTCCTACGGAATCTTCTCGCGAGTTCACGGGATTTCGAGTGACCAACAACTCTGGCGGTCATCCGTGATTCACAGAACCGTAGTTACATTCGTAACTTTCGTTCTATTCCATCCTTACTGACCACCAGAGGCAGTGCTTAACACTGGATGACTTATATCAACAGAGTCACGAGGAATCACAGTAACTACCTCGTATAGCTCTGGCAGAGGAAATAGGCCAAAGAACCCTCCTCAGTGGGTGAGGGGTGGCAATGTTAACTCTGTAGTGTTTGGTGAATGTGCTCGGTGATGCCCATGAGGCCGCAGCACCTATATCCTCCACAGGCACACCTCTCAGGACTGCCAATGACGTGGAGACACTCCTGGTAGAGTGGCCCTTCAGCCCGGATGGCCGTGCGCGGTCGCTCGCCTTGTATGTATAGGCAATGGCCTCCACTATCCAGTGGGATAGGCGCTGTTTTTTGAAGGAGCACAGCCCTTCTTAGGCCCACCATAACTGACAAAGAGCTGCTCCGACCGCCGCATGCAGGCGGTGGCTTCCACATAAGCTCTGAAAGCCCGTACTGGACACAGCAGCCTTGACCTCTACTCTCCTGATGGGGGGGTCAAACTGCGCGAGCTGGATAGGCTGGTTGATATGTGAGCATGTCAGCACCTTTGGGAGAAATGCTGCATTAGGCCACAAAGTGACACCCAAGCCATCTAAGTTCCACCTCAGACATGATTCACTCACCGACAGGGCATGCAGCTTGCCTACACGTTTAGCTGAAGTGATGGCAAGGAGAAAAAACGTTTGGCCGATAGCCATCTCGGCTCCGCCTGTGCCAGGGGTTCAAAAGGAGGCAAGCATGGGGTGTCCAGTACCACGGGTAGGTCCCATGCAGGGGCCTTCGGGGCGCTCGGGGGACGCAGAGCACCTTTTTAGGAAGAGGGACACCAGTCTGTGGCTCTCTACTGTGTCATTGTCGACCTTAGTATGCTGCCCCGAAATATCGGCCACGTATACTCCAAGGGTAGAGGGAGACCGGCCCTTATCTAGGAGGGACTGTAGAAACTTAAGTACAGCAGTTTGGGCTGGATTCAGCTGCCCTGACAGGGGGAGGTCGACCTCATGCATCAGGTGTTCCACTTCAGCCAGCCTAGCAGACCTTACTGCTCAAGGGATGATGCCGCAGTTCCTGCCTGAGTTCTTCGAGAGGCCCTCCCTCAGATGCTCGAGGCTAAGGCAAGAGGAGTAGAGGTCATGGTCGTGCTCAGGCTGAAGAGGAGCCATACAGGTCCTACAGCCGGGAGAGTTAAACTTGGCCGAGATTCTGGAGGAACCCTTGTCCCACTAGTTGGTGCGGAATTCTAATTCAGTCTGAGCGGGAGCACTCTGCTGAATGTTGAGAGAACAGGCAGGGGGCAGTCAGAGGGGAGTGATCTCTTCGGACACTCTCTTCACTTGGACAGCCGTTGCAGATATTGGTGTCCCACCTAGCTGCTTGAGCGAGAGCACTCTGCCACTGTGGAAACAGACCAAAAAACAGTCCTTACGGTGAGAGGGGAGCAAGGACACACTCTTCACTAGGACAGTCGCTGTAACTAGTGGTGTTCCACCAGTTAGCTCGAGCGAGGACACTCTGCTAACTGTGACAGCCGTAATGTTACAAAATGAATGGACACAATCCCAGTATTAACTTAGTCAAGTTAGTGTCCCACCAGGTTAGCCTGAGCGAGGACACTGCCAACTGCGACAGCCGTAATGCGTAAAAGCATCATCAGACACAACACCAATGTCGATTTAGTCTAACTAGCATCTCACCGAGTTAGCCTGAGCGAGGACACTCTGCTCACTGTGAAAGGCAGGCCGACAGCGTATATTCTACGCTGTCGTTAGCACGCTACTCGATTAGCTAGAGCGGAAGCGCTCTGCCAACCGTGGAAAACGAACAACGGTTATAGAAAACAATGTTAATCGATCTCACCGATTGCTATCTTCACGACTTAGGTGGCCCATATCAGACTGGTGATGACCGATGATAGGGGTGTCCGCCAGTCCGGGGCTCGATGGTCTGAACGGCAAAACACACCGTTCCCTCCTAAGAGGGACAGCTTGTCGCAGCCTTTGGAGGGCGAGAGATCCGCAACTCCGACCGGTGGTCACAAGGCTACAACGACAAGCTCCAATATGTCTTGATCGTTGTCACGATCAGGCTTTGCCTTATGTGTTCTGTGTGTGTTTTTCTGTAGCTCCTCACTCTTCAACTCAGCCAACTCCCTTCACTTGTCCCTTATCAGTAATCAAGCACTCCCTCATCAGCACAACTCTCCTCACCTGTTCTAGTCACTTCTTAAACCCCTGTCTCTCACTCACTCACTGCCAGGTCATTGTTTGTGTTCTACCCGCCCGTTTGTCTCGTCCTCTTCCCGGTTTCCCCGTCTGCCTGCCCTGCCTCGATTCCCACTGGATCTCCCCCCTCGTCTCTTGTCTTGTGCTTGGACTCCCTGTGTTGTGGTAATTATTTCCTTTTGTGTGGAATAAAACGCCTTTTCTCACTCATCTGACTGTCTGCACTTGAGTCCTCATCATGCCCCGTGACAATTGTAGACACATCTTTGTTTAACCTCATGCCTGTGTAGCGAGAAGATGAAAAAGGACTGATCTCAGGATGACACCGGAACTTATAGACGACGGGGGTCATCCGAGGTCACAGATGACTTTGTTGATATAAAGACTCGACCTGCGCATGTGCGAGACAGAAGATTAAGCACTGCCTCTGGCGGTCAGTAAGGATGAAATAGAACTGTCTGAGAAGCTGCCATTGGAAACGATTTGAAAAAGGCCAGGCACTTTCAAAAAATACGTGGCAGGTGATTGGATGAACCATCTGTCAATCAAACTCTTGGTGAAGCTGGTCGGGAGTAAAGCAAAAATATTTTTCCATGTAGAAAAGCTTTCATTGTTCTTTGCTCTTCTTTTAATAAAGAAATACTCTCAAGTTCTGATAGAACTGATGCTGTTGCGGCATTCATGCTAACCTCTTCAGGAACCGCCATTGTTGTTTGGAATAAACCGTTTCCTCTCTGGGTCATCTCCCTCACACCTAAACCACACTCTTGGCTGCCACTAGCTCCTGATTGGTGGCATTACTTGAAACTTAATGGATGTTTGTGTGACAGGTGATCCTGTGATCCCAGGTAAATATGAATGTATGTACGAAATGTCATTACATTCTGTCCAATAGTTGTTGATATATTTCAGTCTGGATCAAAGTGGTGGACCCACTGATTAACAAACCAACAATTTCCATGCCACTAGCATGGCTGAACACACAACACAGAAAAACAGACTTGTTTATCTGCCACGTGATGGTGGCATGTAACGACAAACATGTTTGAAGACACAGCAAGAGAGTATGTTTCTTCTTGTCAGTTTACTAGTTCTGATGAGCTTCACCATCAGACAAACCTGACACATTTGTAGAAAACAGGCAGGCTGAGATACAGTCAAGACTTTAAAAGTTCAGGTGACGACAACTATATGGTAGTTGGTAGAGGGGTTGTTTATGACGGACACATGGGCCTGTGCGCATTAAATGACAATACATGATCACACCAATACAAACACTGGCGGAAAAATGGGAAAGAGTTATAATTCACATCTTTATCATTTCAAGTTAAAATTGTATTTAATTTTCTTCACCTCATTTTAAAATTTCTTGTGATTGGAAACTATCAATACAGTTCTGTTTTTTATTTTTTATCATTTCATTTTTATATTTCCGCCTCTCAGAAATGTGCCCACCACACCTTGTAATCTATTGGAGCTGAAAGAACTTGATTGATTTCAGTTGTTTAATTAGGAATAGTTTTTGTTGTAGTTTGCTTTACGTTTATTTCACACACAATACTCCCGCTATACACTGGACGACTTTGTGCTCTATCCATAAAGTCCACATTGGCTTCTATGTGGAACAACAGCGGACTGATGGGAGGAGAGTGGAAAGTTTGGAGGAAATTCTCCAGCTGAGAACAGCTGTTGTTACCAGGTGGGTGACTTTATAGTTCTGGGGCTGTTTCCTCAGCATGTGTCCGTGGTACACTTTGGGTCAAAGCTGTGGACTGGAAGTGTGGTTTCACTGTGGGAATAAATTGTTTCCTCTAAGGCAGAGCAGAAAACTATGATTATATACAAACAAACGTATGACTCAAACTGAACACTCTTCATTGTCTCCTCTGAAAACCGGCCAAGTAACAGATAACTTGGGCAAAATGTGTTGTAAACAAAAACGTTTCTTGAGTAATTGTAAGAACCGTTACTCCTATCCATTTCAGATACATTCATACTTTATACACAATCCGTAGTCATACAGTACCCTGCTTCACCTTCTCATAACAACATAAACACATCACTTGCATCGTCATCACATTTAAAGCACACAAACCACAGTATAATTTGCAAACTGGACCACATTGGTCTGACCTTCACTATAAAGATGTCGCGCAGCCTAATGCAGTAACTGTTCATGTTCACTACTGATCACAGCTCAGTATACCTGCACACTGTTCCCAAGTCTCAGTATGTGAAAACTGATCAAGCTGATCATCCTCCTGCTCTAAACAGCTGCCGTGATAACATTTTCATCAACACCATTGGCGGTGGCCGCCGTGCCTGTCGGGTCCCCATTGGATGGTGTGTGTGGGGTGACCTTTGCCAGTCGGTGCTCCTTGCTGTGGGTGCAGCTGCGGGCGCAGAGCTGGCAGGAGGCACAGGCTGAGTTGCAGCAGGGCAAGAAGCGGCAGATGCTGACACGCCACAGGAACCAGCCGGGCGACCAGCAGCACCAGCAGAGCACCACGCCGCCGGCCACCACACCCAGGATAATGTAGAGAACCAGCAGGGACAGGGAGGCAGGGGAGTCTAGGGATCATACAAAAATAAAATTATTGTTATTCACATGGCAGCAGTATTTAATGTAAGTTATAATGCAGGTGGGAAGCACTCATATAACTTATATGTTATTAACCAAACTACTTCAGGAATTTTTTTAGGGTTTGAACTTTTCAGTGTGTATACTGTCACCACGAGCTGCAACAGACTAAGGAGGCTCACACACCACTCACTACTGAAACGGTATTGTATCTGCCAGGAACCAAATCTTCCAGAGGCTCCTCTCTTCTGTGTAGGCCTGACTACAAATGATAGAAATATAAAACTTACACTCGCTCATAAGAGCACTAAATGTGGAAATGTAGATCCCCTGCTGAAAATAGTCCCCCAACAAATGCACTTTTAATCCTGTGCGAGTAAAGCTAGCTAAAAACTGCATTTAGATTTACGTCTTCAGAAGGGATGAATGGGTTTGGGGATGAGAGTCACAGGTCTCACAGTGTTTATTAACCACAGATCCCATAAAAGTATTCAGCGATGGACAAACACATGGTGGTTCTATGGGGATCATGTGGTCTTTTAAGTCTGGCCCCCCTAACTGTGGTAAATATTTTCAAAAGAAACAAAAATTATAGAAATACTCAACCAAAAAATAAAATAATAACGCTGTATAGTAGGATCATTTTAGGTGACGGACCCACTAGATTTTGATTTGAATTTATTTTGCACCGGTTTTGCAAGAAAATAATGGAATGCAGAGGCCCTCCGATTAGTAGAGCAAACACTGTTCATCAAACCATGGAAAGAAATCCTCTTTGAGCTTTTCAGTTCCAACACCAGTAATCACTGCTTCATGAGTTTTTTTCTTAATCTGCACCAGGCCTGGAGAGAAGTTATGTTTTCAGTTGTGTGTGTGACTGTGTGCGTCCTTGACTGAGTGAGTGTGCACCTCTGTGTCTGTCCACAGCTAATCCCGCATTCTGCTCCACATAGTTATGGCTGCATGCTCACAGCACCCTCATGGTTGCAGTGACTCACACTTTGTCAGAGGACCTTTTAATACCTGTTTTATACTGCCACTGACCGCCTGCTGACTCCTAACTCACCACTCTTAAGTGTCCCTCTGCGTGTGGCGGAAACACTTTACACACTGTGATGGTTTTGGACAGTGTGTTTGGCTAACCGCTAACAGCTAACAGCTAACAGAATACCTCGTCGCCACTCAGCTTGGTGAGTTTACCTTTGTGTTCTGGCACAGTTGTATGAAGTGTATTATACAAGGACTTCGAGCCCAGTGTATAACGTTAATCATTACAGAGACACCTGGCTGAGATCAGGGGTCTCATTAATAAAACAGTGCGTAGGATTCACACTAAATGTTTTGTACTAAAAAAATCTAATTTATCAAACCTTGCCAGTGTGCAATTTCCTTTTATAAATCCCAAATCAACCTGTAAATGTGAGCAGCTGGTTCAGCCTCACATCCCACCCTCTACACGCCATGAATGGTCAAAGCAAAGCACCTCATGAATGTTGATGCATAGAAATGAGCTGCTGATCAGTGTTTACGGTGAATCACGGACACTACCGAGAGGAGTACCAAGCAAAGTTTTTGTTTTACACAGAAATCAAAGCTCACTTCTAATTCTTCCATTTACGCAGTCCTAACAGTGCCAGAGTATCTATCGTGCAACACAACACATCACGAGTGTCACCGCAGTATTTATGTTTACAGCAATCACACTGATTGATTCCAAAATGATCGCAACAAGCATTGGTATCCACCACTCTGATTGAAAAAGGAAGTTTGATAGGTGAACACAATTTATTTATTTATTCATAAATAAATAAATATTTATTTAAACATAAGTTTTCTTTTGGCATTATGATTAGGACTGGTAATGAGGATATGGAGTGATGGTTCGAGAACCGTCACTGGCTTTATTATTTTATTTATTTGCTAATTTACATAATCCTTATGTTTAGGTGGGGAAGGTTTGCCAGGTGAGGTGAAGGTGTGTGACAGTCACCATGGTTACTCCTCTGCTCCAGTGACCTATGACACTCTCATCAGACAGCTGTTTACAGTTTGTCTGTGTACAGTATGCTGTATCTGTCCCATCGCTCCCTATGGAATAAACCATAAATGAATACAGTTGTGTTCACTGCAGCGATTTTACTCACACTACTACTACTACTAACACTGTGGTGGAATATTTCTAGGTTAATCGGGAGAAGAGAGTTCCTGTTCACAAATTAATAATAATGAAGTCATCAGAAGATTCAAAGTTGTCTTTTTCCATTTATTCTCTTGCAGGGGGGAAGAGTGCACAACACAGTACGTATTCGGCAGCATGTTGTAAAGACTTCTCCGAACTACAGGATTCACCACCTTTTATACACGGAGAGGTCCTTTTTTGCAGATAAATCATACACAGGAGATGAGGGGCCCTCTGACACAGGTTAAAGGCTTCTGCTCATTATTTAGTTCCTGTCAGGTGTGTTCGCTGGGACCCAGTCACAGTTATCACGATAGACCCTCTTTACTGCATAGTTTTGAACACACGTAAGTTTCAGGTTCACAACTCGGTCACACAGAGGCCTTCAACATATTTTTCCCCTCACAGTCTTCACTTCCCCTTCTTGTGTGGGAGTGTGTGATAAACCAAAAGTAAGAGAAAACAGGACATCTGGTTCATAAATTGAATAACTACTTCTGCAGGACTGCTGTTTTGTGTCTGTCTGTGTTCATCACTTTCAGTGGTACATGTTTTAAAACATAACATGATACTATAACATATTTTCCCATTACAACACTTCTTTATATTTCTACTCCACTATAGAGGCAAAGATTATATTTTTTACAATTACTACTATTTACCTGACAGCTTTAGTTACGAGTTACTTTGCAGATTCAGATTAAAAATACAAAATATAATCAATGAATTGTTGGGATCTGACCATGTGCCTCGCCCATGTGCTTTGAGACAAAGAAATCAGGCCTTCCTGTTTGCAGAGCAACCTGGAGCCTGATTTGAGTTTGTGATAAGAGGAATGTTTAGGCCATGTCCATACTACGTTTTTACTCCGTTTTTGCTATGTTTACACTGAGCGGCCACACTACGCCGGAGTTTTGGAGCACCCTAAACGGAGGAGTCTGAAAACTCCCCCGAGGTTGGAGGTGTTTGAGAACTCCGGGGTTGCGTTTGCGTGTGGACAGTCGGATACGGATGTGCTTAGAAAAAATTATGCCTGCACCCATGTTCGCTACTGGATTGTTTCTTGGCAACCATGACGTCTCCGTCCCTGATTCGTCACACTCATTATCACGTGACCCGTACCCGGAAGAAACAAACTGGGCTACCAGCGATTCATTTCAACATGGATAACTAATTGCAAGCGTTGCTGCTAGCACAACAGCTAGCAGCTGTTGTGCAGTAAAAGTCTGCATTTCTGTGGAGGAAGCAGCTGTTATTGGAGTGATTAGCGAGCGGCGTGGTCATCAGCCCAATGGAGCAGCTCCTTGTTTTTAGATTCTAATGAGAAGACACGCTGCACTAACGTTTTACTTATTCCGTTTGGTAGCCTTGAGAGACTTTAGTCTGTAAGTATGTCTTTATGAAGCATGAAAAGATGTACGTAGATATATTCTATTCGCGTGTTTAGTGTAACATTTGTGTTGTATTAAATGCTAATCGCGGTTAGCATTTCTCCATTGGCGGTAATGTTAAAATTAGCTTAGAAGCTAGCTAGGCGGACATGATGTTCAGAGCTACTAGTGAGAACAGACACCAACAACACGGAGGAAACGAGTGAGAGACGTGTTGACCACATTGATAGACCCATAATCTAGTAAACGTTTACGTGTAAGTGTTGATGTTAAAGTAAATTTGATGTGAGAGAGGGAGATAGACCCGCAGCGCTGTAATGCTAATCGCGGTTAGCATTTTTCCATTGGCGGTAATGTTAAAATTAGCTTAGAAGCTAGCTAGGCGGACATGTTCAGAGCTACTAGTGAGAACAGACACCAACAACAAGGAGGAAACGAGTGAGAGACGTGTTGACCACATTGATAGACCCATAATCTAGTAAACGTTTACGTGTAAGTGTTGATGTTAAAGTAAATTTGATGTGAGAGAGAGAGATAGACCCGCAGCGCTGTAACTACGTCTGAAAAATAAAACTTCTAAAACTTTCCACGAACTGTCTGTTTGAGTTTATAGAGGAAGATCTTAAGTATGAAATACAACCTTTCATTGTTAAAGACTACTTTATTACTCTGTCGTATTTTTTTAACTAAGCAAGCAATCCACTTCCTGTTTACACCGTCACGCGCATGCCCAGTGTACGTTAATGGTCACGTGCTGTCCGCCTTCGAAGGCTGCCATGTGGATGCAGATCAACTCGAGAATGATGCTGAAACTCCCATGTGGACGGAGATCGGTTATATTTGACAACTCTGCATCCAAGTAAAAACGGAGTAATGTGGATAGGGTAGATGCGAAAGCAATAAAACATCAACACTGCGATCTAATTGGCTGAGAGCCACAGACACCCCATGACCACTGTGGTTCAGCCCCTGTTTCTATAAAACAGCCTTGCTCCCCCATCTCTATGCTTTTCCCTCGACCACCTCGGTTGATCAAGGAGGCACATGCAAACATGCAAACATAACTCACCAAAGTCATATTTTTTAACCAATTTAGACATGCATCTTTAGAAAGAAAAGTGGCATTTTAAAGCTTAATTCTACCAACAATATGAAGGTAAAATTTAATAACAAGCCACGTGGCACAGAGCAAACACATGCAAACAGACACTGCAGCAAAATAAAAACATAGCCGATAAAGGTATAAAATAGGAAAAGGAGGCTGTACAAAAAGAAAATCCTAGGTTTAACAGTTTTACATTCGCTGGACGTATCTACTGGACTGTTCGTTTTGTTTTTGTTCGCATCCTGGACGAGGAAGCGAACAATTTTCCTGCAGAAGTGAAGAAACAGACTCTTCAGAGAGAGAGAAGCACATTTCTCCTCTCCACCCAAGTCGACTTTGTGCTAGCCGTAAGGACGAAATTCTCTGCTAGCGAGATAATCTATTACATTACATTGCATTACAGTCATTTAGCAGACGCTTTTATCCAAAGCAACTTACAATTCAGATTCTATCACATTCATACACCGTAGGCACAGCTACGGGAGCAATTTTGGGGTTAAGTGTCTTGCTCAAGGACATATCGACATGTGACTAGCCTGAGCCGCAATCGAACCGCCGATCCTTTGCTCTCCACTTAGCCACAGTCGCCTCTATTGCGCCGCACGGAGCCGCGTTGCCTGAGTTCCACCGACAAACTCGGGAGGACCACATCTTCAACCACGTAATCACCTCCTAGTAAGGCTACTTACGGTGTCTGGGCTAGATTTAGGTTATTGTGTTATAATCTTGTTTGTGTTTAAGTTACTGTGTCATTTTTATAATGTGGTGTGTATGCTCAATAATCATATTAACATCGAGATTGTTAATGTTATGTAGAAGTTACTGTGTATTTCATACTACTGCAATCGTGTTGAGATGGTTCACCGCTAGTTGTTTCTCATCAGTTCAGAGGTCAGAACCGCGGCTGTGCGAATCAAAGAGTCGTCAGCTGTGTTTCTGTAGATGAGAGAACAATCTTCCGTGCGGGGGGGATCTTTTGTTTTTGGAGGATTTATTTTGTTTTCTTTGCTTTCTCTCTTCTTTTACTAACCCACACACACATATAGCTGTAGCTCCGGGGTTTTACTTACTGCTTTAGGCACATAACGAGAGCTCTATTGTCCGCCATTTTAGAGTCTCGTGCCATCTTGTGGTCTCGCGAGAGACGCCATTACGTTTTAGATTACGTCATACGTGGTCTGAGCTGTTCTCTCGCCTCCCCCCCTACACACACACACACTGCATGCACACACGTACACACACACACTCCTCCCCTCACCACAGTTTGTTGATTTTAGATAGCGTGCTCATAAATGTATAGTTGTTAGTTTTAGATATTAGTTGACTAGATCATTATTATTGGAACTTAATAAACTGTTATATTTTAAAGAGCAGCTGTGTGTGATTACTTTGTGCATGTATTGTGATAATAGCTGGATATGTGGTCTGTTGCTCGAACTTAAACCTTCACTTTCACTCTGAATGTGGAATAGTACTTTGACTATTGACATTGTGAGTGAATACTAATTATGAGACTTAGTTTATCATTTGGTTATTGGTCCCTGTTCACAGGGTGGTGCCCTGTTATTAATAATCGTTAATTACTGACATTAATAATTCTATTGATGTCAATAATTTAGTTTTCTTATATGCTGATAACTAAAACACGCTCCTTTTCGTTCCCAACAGAATAAATAAGTTGTTGGAAAATGAGGTAACTGGACTGCAAACAATAGTAATTAAAGTACTAATTTTGCAGAAACATGATCCCTGTCAGTGTTTTACTATTATATACGAATATTACATATGTATATTTTTTGGGTCCTTGTTCCTGCTGCAGATATTTCAGGTGGAGCTCATTTTAACTCCGTTATACTCTGTTGTTCAGTTTGGGTTGTTAGGAAGGGTTTGAAAAGTAAATTTCCCCACTGCGGGACTAATAAAGGATTATCTTATCTTATCTAACTAAAGCTGCCAGACAAATGTAGTGGAATAAAAAGTACAATATTTCCCTCTGAGATGTAGTGGAGTGGAAGTACAAAGTTTAATAAAATAGAAATACTCAAGTAAAGTACCTTGAATTTGTACATAAGTACAGTACTTAAGCAAATATACTTAGTTACATTCTACCACTGATCATAATATTTACTCTTACCACTCACAGCTTATCAAAACGATACAATTTACTGCTTTTTATAATATTGAGCAGGATTGAGGTCAGTCTATTGGTCCGGCCCCACAACAGTCCCTGTTTCTCATGTGGCCCCTTGGGAAAAATAATTGCCCAGCCCACCCCTGGTCTAGATAATGAAAATCAGGAACATTTTGGGGAATACATCTTGCTATGCCTTCTTATCCAATCAGAAGAAACATCAAATTCAATTCAATCTTTATGCCCAATTCAGAGATACAGGTCCAACTTCCAAACTGCAAACCTGTCTGACCGTCTTGACAAAAGTTGACTGTAACTGTCATTTAAGTTGCTCCCTGTGCAGTCAATAACCATAGATATTGATATGCCTGGAGCGACTGTTCAGTATTTACACTCTTAGAAAATGAAAGAAATTCAACCACAGCTAACAAGTCTGTTCGTCCAGCCTATGGTCCCTCACAGTGGGCTGACCAGGGTGCATTGAAATGGATCTCAGCTAGTAAATAGCTGGCAATTTGCACAGCAGGCTAATGTGGATCCCCCTCTCCCACTCTCAATGCAACAGTCAGAAGAGAAGAATAGCTGTTTTCTTAGGCCAGAGTTGGCCGGGCTTAAAAGCAATCAGAAGCTAACAGGTGGGCCCAGACAGTCCGTGTTTGCACCTCTGACGCTCGAATAAAGACAGATCACTCAAAAGGCTACTCCTCATCGTGAGAATCCAACACTGTTTATTGGTTTACAAGGCTTTAGTGAAATGAACAACTCAATGTTCACCTCAATTAGTTTTATGCCCAGTCATCAGGACTCTTTGCATCCGAATGGGCACTTATTTAGTTTGTATACCAACCAACTAACTATAGGACATAAGCTTAGTGCATTACACTTTGATTGATTCCTTGATTCCTGGTATAGAGTGTTTCTACTAGTTGAATTAATAGACATATACTGTGTCAAAGTTACAACTCACCTGTTACAGACTCATGACTGGGAGCACTGTCTGGCACGCCACAGTTGTTATGAGTAGAAATCGGCACTGTGGGTGGATTCACAAAAGGTGGGGGTGGGGTTGCTATTGGCGGCGGAGGTTCAGGAGGTAAAAGCTGACCTGCTGATGAAGGACAGATTAGGGTCAGATTTTAAATGGTGGGAAAAGCTATGTTGTTGAACCATAAAGATACCCCCATATATTTGCTGTAGTGCTCCAAAATCCAAAAATCTTACAAACACATAGTTGTGAAGCATCAACTATGACATTTTGAGCGTGTTGTAATAAAATCAGGGACTATATAGTATATACTATATACATATCAGCATCACCTGTCACCTCATCACTTAACTGACCTTTACAACCTGTGGTCAGGTTTTCCTCCAGGTCACTTGCATCCCCACAGTTGTCAATGCCTTTATCGTCACACACCAGACTGAGAGGGATGCACTTCCCATTTCTGCAGGTGAAATAGGGCTCATTACTGCACTCTGATTGGTTGAAACCTGTAGGGGAAGAAAACAATTAAGGGATTGGGGCAATTGCTGATTAAAGATATAAATGAGTGACATACAATTTAGCCAATCAGCGTCCTCAAATAGATTCAGCTTGGGGCCAAACTCCCGAGCTTGCACGTCCTCGTCAGGAGAAGTCTCTACAGGCGAGCGCGAGCGCCAGCGTGAGCACCACTCCTCCAAGACCCGTTTGAGAGGAGAACTTTGGCGGAGAAACTGCAGGCCAAATAGCTGATCCCAGATCATCCTGACCTCACAATCAGACAGCAGACTAACGGGAAAGGGAAGCAGTACATGCGATGCTTCTCTAGTAGCTGTACACCAGACACGTTTGGCTAGCTGGATGCAGTCATGGTAATGACGTATTTAGCTTTACAACGGGGACAGATACAGCACGGACAGTTACGGGAATGAGGGATGAGGAAGTAAGGAAACATGAAAACTCTGTCAAGCTACCATATTAGCCAAAGTGAACATCTTTTCTTGTACATAGTTGTCCTCAGTCTCATCTGCTTAACTTGGTCATGGAGGCATCAACATTTAATTGAGATGGTAAATTAACAGTGAAAACTCATCATAGCTTAATTTAACATCAGTATTGCTAAATTCACTTAATGTTTACTTCTCCTGATCTTTACCTCCCTATAACAAGGTCCATAGGGACATCTCAATAAACAAACATGTTCTGTTATATTATATTTTTATTTTTTGAAGAAAATCTTTGAAACTATGTTTACTTTCACAAAATCCACTTTTTTGAAGAAAATCTTTGAAACTGTTTACTTTCACAAAATCCACTTTTTTGAAGAAAATCTTTGAAACTATCTTTACTTTCACAAAATCCACTTTTTTGAAGATAATCTTTGAAACTATCTTTACTTTCACAAAATCCACTTTTGGCCTCTTCCAGGCCTGAAACGTCTTTTAAGAGCATAAAAGGCTGAGAATGTACCTTAAACCCAGTGGCGGGCTGTCAAGCCTTCTCTGCTGGCCTAAACAGAATCACAAAGTTATGTGGTCATAAGGTGGTATTTCAACTGCAGGACAGCAGTGAAGGCCCAGGTATAAAATGCATGGCCCGCCACTGTATTATATATATAGATATATACTGTATATATATATATATCTATATGTATGTTTTATATTATACTGAATATTATTATATGATATATATATATATATATATATATATATATATATATATATATTATACTGAATTCCCTGTGAGGTTGACAAAAATGATATGTCCTGAAGTGTTCATCAAAGTGTTATTTACTGCTTTTTTTCGTGTTGGAATATATGTTAAATATTTAACTGCAAAATGCGTGTTTGATACCTTAATTTTTTTGCATTAAATCATACTGGGATGTTTGCTGAAATTGATTGGATGGCCCTACCTAGAAAAGTTTTCACCAGCCGCCACTGCTCAGGCGGCAACCTTCTGAAAAGTGATGTCCACGCTTCATGTCTTAAAGCTGCATTCTCTCTAATGTCCATCAGGGGGCGACTCCTCTGCTTGTATAGAAGTCTATCAGAATATGACTACACTTCTCTCTTGATTTATTACCTCAGTAAAGATTGTAAACATGAGTTTATGGTCTCAATCTCTAGTTTCAAGTCTTCTTCAATACAGCATGATGTTCAATTAGTAAATTATGGTCCATTTAGAGTCAAATAGACCTTAAAGCAGAGTATGCTGTAGGGCGGGGCAACCTTGTGATTGACAGGTCTGGGAGTTGAGTGTTTTTCGTCTTAGTACTTTAACCCTTTCCCAGTGGGCTTTTAGTTAATGAACTTTAATTGTAACATTTTGTACACCTAAAAATGATTCAGTTGGAAAAAAAATAAGATGACGGCCAAAATAAAAAGATTTTCCGTGAAATTGCTACTTGTGCGTTTTCCTTAATAGATTGCCCATGATGACTTACAGTTTGCATATTATGAATGATATGATGTGTATAGTTCTGCTATGCCTTTGGGGTAGTGAATGATTAAAACCTTTGTGAAGGATATTTGCACTAAATGCTGTCAAAGCTAAATCGATGCACATGGTTTGGCTAAAGCAGAGGTCGGCAACCTGCGGCTCACGAGCCGCATGCGGCTCTTCAGCCCCTCTGTTGCGGCTCCCTGAGTCTACATCAGGGGTCCCCAACTGGCGGACCAGATCCGGACCAAGGACCTAAATCCGATTGATAATTCGGAATTATACATATTAGGCACTGAGTTTATACTTTAACCGGCGCCTCTTATTCAGCCGTTACGGCACTTGTTCGGCGGTGCAGGAAACACACCGACCAATGCATTGTAAATCACATCAGGTGATGCAGCTCAGCCAATCAAATATGGGTATTCTGACAAGTTTCCTGACTCGAGCGAGGTTTACACACACACCGTGACACACGGGGGGAGAGATGAGGAAATAGAAAGAAGAGCAGGGAAATTGCGCTGATCGAAGAAGATATCTCGCATGACGTTCTCCAAAAAGAGAAACATGTTCAGAGAGAATATAATTTATAAGCAAGAATGAACAGAATCTTATATGTTAATTATTCCCACAGGCAGTCAAATCCTCTACCTCTGTCAAGCGCTTTTCCCCCGCGAACGCGAACGGCTAATCATGATTTTCAGACCCACGCCCTCGGTAATCTATCAATGGATAAATCCAAAAAAAGAAAAGTCACGGAGGAAAATAGAGAGTTTGACTCTGCGTGGACGGACGTATTCATTTGCTTTCACTGCCAACGATGCTGACTTACCTCTATGCTTCCAGAACAAACACACAGCATGTGCTGAAAAGTGTCACGCTGGAGATGAGCGACAAAGAGCGATTCCTCAACTGCTGCAGCAAACTGAGCTCTTCATAATAGTTTGATATTGTTATGACAGGTAAAATTGCAGTAAAATGTGAAGAATTGTCTTTATTCTTGTTCTATATTTTCAGAAATACAACAAACTATAGTTTTTGTATATATAATATAACTATATATAACACTTTATAAGCTGTGACATCAAATAGCTTTTGTGGCTCCAGACGAATTTTATTTGGTGGAAAATAGGACAAAATGGCTCTTTGGATAGAAAAGGTTGCCGACCCCCGGGCTACAGGAAGGGGTTAATGCAAAATTGAATTGTCACCTGAATCTCATTTTTAGCATGAAGTTTATTTTAAAAACAAAAATCTGAAAAGCTGAAGTTCAGCTTTTTAGTAAGACAGAAATCTTCTATTCATTTAGAGCAGGGGTGTCAAACTCATTTTCACTCTGGGCCACATCAGCATCACGGTCGCCCTCAAAGGGCCGGTTGTAAATGTAAGATTGTGTAAATGTAACTACTCCTAACATATTGGTAAATAACTGTCTCTGCATTTGATTATTGTTTATTCAAGTGTTAAAATATTGTACGTGCAGTTATATAAATGTAAAAATATATTTAAGCACATTTCTGTTATTATAACTTAAATCCTTTTAATTTAGGGTTAAGAAACCCACATTACTCTATCAAATATCAAACTTTAAAAGAAAATATCAAAGACAAATATCAAACAAGTTATTACAATAACTTTGTTCAAAGCTTAAAATCCTTTCAAGGGTGCGTTTGCACAATCCAACATGAAGTATTTCATGTGTTGTAAAGCCACGTTTAAAGTAGTCTTCAATGTACTCACAATACATTTCCATGTCAAATGTACAGTAACCAGCCAAAGAGCTGCTTCTATGACTGTGTGTTTAAGTATCTCATAATTATGACTTTCTATCTCATAGTTATGACTTTCTATCTCATAACTTCGACTTTCTATCTGATAATTTCGACTTTCTATCTCATAATTTCGACTATGGGGATATTTTTATTATCAAAGTTAAACGCCGATATGGAAAAACTGCTGTCTTGCAGCAGGATGCTGTCATTTCGCGGGTCACAAAATCGCCGACGCATTGTGGGAGATGTAGTTTATGGTCACTGTAAAGCAGCATAGACTTTAATTCTAAGACAATCATATGCCATTTATATGGAAGCCCATTTCCGGCAGCCAAAAAAAAAACAATACAAAAAAAGATGAAAAGTTAGACTTGATAATAAAAATATCCCCATGGCACTTTTGGTGCATCCATCTGTAACCATGACACTGATCAGATGTTTCCAGTTGCTGTTCAATGAAGGTTGCCACCTCAGCCACATCGGTTTTATTCTTTCTACTCCAGAGCTGCTTCTTGCTTAAAATCCTTTCAAGGGTGCGTTTGCTCAGTACAATCCCATAACGTGAAGTATTTCATCTGTTGTAAAGCCACGTTTAAAGTAGTCTTCAATGTAGTCACAATACATTTCTATGTCAAATGTAGGGTAACCTATGAAGAGCTGCTTCTATGACTGATGTGTTTAAGTATCTCATAATTTCTATCTCATAGGTATGACTTTCTATCTCACAATTTCGACTTTCCTCGAGGAACACCATAGAAAAGTCCGTGCTTTGATTTGGTATCTAAAAATGCTGACATTTGAAAATTTATGAAAGAATTGTATTTCATATGCCATTTTTAGAATAGGTACATATTTGTACTGCATGCAAAATAAACTGCATGTTTTTTTCTCAAATGGCATGTGATTATCATAAAGTGGGCGTGTCGGTAAAGGGGAGACTGATGGTTCCCATAGAACCTATCTTCATTCAAATATCTTTAGGTGTTGAGGGTCAAGGGACCCTGTAAATATGGCCATGCCAGTTTTTCCCTTGCCAAAATTTAGCCTAAGTTTGGAGCGTTATTTAGCCTAACATGACATGGGTAGTACGAATGGATTCATCAGGTCATCTAGTTTCATATGATGTCATTATCTCCAGCTTTAAAACCTAGGCTGCTACAGCATCTAATAGACGGTAATGCCGACAATGCCCCAAGACACGATAATGAAATAGTCTTTTAACCTTCATCTTTGTGTAAGGTAACATAAATGATCTTATACCTTCACCACAGACTTGCACATGCCCTGTTACCTCACATTACTTAAGCATTCGTAAATGTAAATGTGTGATCTGTTTTTACCTTAATGTCTCTTTGTGTTCTGAAAATATTGTTTATTAATAAATTAATTGCTTATTTGATTATGATTGCCTATCATAAAACAGTTATTGTTTTAAATTCAAGAAAACATGAAAAAAAACAACTTTTAAATCCCATCCCCGTTCATCTTGTGCAATAACAATATTTTTTTTAAATGACAAAAAATCTATTTCTTCATATTTTTTAGTGCTGGGCAAGTTAACGCGTTATTATCGCATTAACGCATTCATTAAATAATGCTGACAATTATATTATCACACGTTAACACAGTTGTTTTTTTTTTATTATTAAGCGGACATTTTTAACACAAAAACCGGGGAGCGAGCGGGGAGCAGGTGTTTGTGTGGCGTCACTTTCTTCTGCTGCCGCTCTCCCCCCCACCGGGTGACATGCCCGGTCCGGAACCCCTCTTCACTCTGTCACTTTCGGTCCCTCCTGTCTCTCACTTGCGTGCGTGTGTGTGCATTACAGGATCAAATGTGACAATATCTTAAATACATATTGTCGTGTTTTTAAATAAACATATAAGCACGTGAGAACAAACTGCTCTTAACTGCAACTCTTTATTAGCATAACTTCCTCATGCAGGTTACTGCCATGGTACAAACTACAGGTTCTCTTGCTTCATCTACATTCCCCTGGGTCCTAAGTCCCTCCAGGTACAGCTTCTTATCACCCTCTATGTACCGACATACATTTATAACAAATACCACACATATTACGGTAATCAGCGTTGCATATGTGCCTGACCAAAATACCAAAAAAAGCAAAAAAGAAATGATAAATTTAAATTATTTTTTTAGAGTTTTTAAAGTGTTTTGTTTGGAATATGTATAATAAGCATATCATTTATTTATTGCTACTGAGAATTTAACAAACATAAAAACGTGACGTAGATAGGTTGGCAGTTTTCAAGGTATATATTTCAAATTGCATCTATTACACACATGAAGATAAAGTTGTGAACACCGGCTGAATATCTATTATCAGAATCATTATGACTGTATTATAACTGCTAATGTGTAAAGAGACTACTGCTGTTAAAAATAACCTTATTTGTTTAAAGTGTTTTGTTCATATAGCAGTACTTTTAAAATAAAAGTGCGCAGTACACTACTTTTGAATTCATTATTGAACTTTGCGCATAACAATGCGATTAATCCCGATTAAAAATTGTAATCGTTGCCCAGCACTAATATTTTTATATCAAATCCAATAATTTTCTCTCCCTGTAAGCTAGTACCAACCAATTTCAACCAATAGTATCATGACATCCATCCATCAATATATCTGCACTTTAAGAACAAGCACCTAAAAAAAGCTCACAGTCAACAGTTTAATCACAAATCTCAATCATTATGTCAGTAACCATAGCGACAATACTGATGCTAACCCACACCAAGGAAAATTTGTACAGAAAAGCTACTTAGCAATAAACCGGGGTCTGACATCAGTAATGATGTTTCCTGCTACGTTACCAGTTCACTTTCACTGGAAAAGCATGGGATGGAACTGGCTAAGGACACAATTTGATGGAAGACAAGTAGCTATTGTATGAGAAAGATAATACACTCCATAGATTACATAAAATAACGGACCTCGTCCATTATTATCTGATTTCAGATCCTTACACCATCATATTATAGTATGAATGTGAGCATCTGTAGGATGGATGGACATGTTTGTGTCTTTCTTACCCAGTCTGAAGGACGTGAAGTCCCCCACAAAGTCGACTCGGGGCTGAGTCCCCCGGGTCACCAGCCTCAAGGTCAGGTAGTTCCCTGTGGACAATACTGGCCGGGGCGGGCTTTTCCCACACAGAGGGGGCCCGAGGGGAGGCGAGTTCCTGTCCCATCCATCATAGAACTGAACGTATGAGCCGGCGTAACACGGGTCCACCGAGCTTTCACCAGAGGTGGGCTCCAGTCTGGAGTTGAGAGGGGCGGAGCCACGAGGGGACTCTGGAAAGAGAGGGGCCGGGCTCAGAGGGGCCACTCGGAGCAGACTGTAGACCAGGAAGAAGCGGAAGTGGAACTGGACCTTGTCCTTAGGGGAGCTGGCCTGCATGGTGAGGTGGCAGTCAGTCGCCATTGTCACAAAGTAGTACTTCTTGGATTCCTGGTGCGAGTTGACGATCATGCCGTCGCCACGGATCGTCTGGCCACAGAAGTCCACCACGTTTACTGACAAGACAAAGACACATGAGACAGAGTCCACAGGGACAAGCTGACAAATGGAGCACGTCGGTAATGAAATGAGTCCAACTCCAAACAGACAGCTGTGTATGTTTGGCTTTTAAAGAAACATGTTATATTACTGATCACAAAAGGGATTGAGTCTTTATGAGTCTCATTCATGGCAGAGAAGAGAAGGCTGTTTTTAAGGTAATTAGACATTTTAGTTGTTGTGTAGAGATGTATAGATATAATTGAAATGACATGAATTCATTATCTGAGGAATGTGAGGAACATACAAGATTTGGGGCTTATTGATACTGTATGCCTTTAAGTATGACAGCGCAAAGTGCCTAAAATGTATGTTTTACTATGAAATTCAATAAAGATATATATAAAAAAGGATGGGTTCAGTCAGTATGATGTTACTGTTCCTCCACTGCAGCTCAACAAGGAAACACTGTCCAGGGAAACAAAAAGAGGGAATTGTATACAAACAACAGCCAGAAATCAAGAAACTAAAGCAATTCCAGTTGCTCTTGACTAAGTTTTTCAAATATTTATTTTTATTGAGCAAAGGATTATATGTTCAGCACATCGTTGTGTCAATTCCATTTGCATGAGAATCACAAAAACACTTTCATTTGCATTCACAAATATGAAAAGATTGCATCTTGAGAACAATATCAAAAATATGTAAAGCAAAAGGGACAAATCGTAAGAATAAAATAAATAAATCATTCAATAAGATTTGACAAAGATACAATGAATATGTACTAAAATAAAGGAGACATTAAGAAATTAAATCTAATTCTAGGAGAGTCTCTGAGAGTTGTTTTGCCATACAGTGTTTGTTTTCAACACACTGGATGTAGAAACTCCCACACATCAGGGTAAACCTGGTCGGCTAAATCATCCACAGGCTGGACCAAGACAGATGGGTGGGCAGATCCGGCTCCAGCAGCCCCCACCCAGCCACCCACCGCCCCCTGCCTCTGGGCCACAAGCCAAATAATGAGAAAATTTACGACCAACCCCAGAGTTTATTAGCTTGGTTTCCCTGGGAGACAACTAGATCCTCCTGCACTGACCTCCAGGAATGTCCCAAAGCCCGGGAGCCCCTGTTGGTGGGAAACAGCTCATCCTCTCTGCACCGCACAAGTAAACACAAAGCCTCGGGTGACACTGTCCAAAACATGGAGGACCAGAGGACATCCAGTAAAGATTTTTGCAGGCTGAACATTCAACTCTTTAAAATGCTGTCATTGTTAATGGACTCTGTTTCAGAGAGCAAAGCCAGAGGCTGAAGGTGCATGACACACTGTAGTGAGAAATGTGTCTGAGACAGCATTGTGTGGAAAAGGTCAGCAGCCTCACTGTCCATCATGTGTTATCCTAACACTGGTTACTCACCATAGGCTAGCATTCTGTCACTTTGCACTGAACAGATTCAGTCCTCTGTGGACCTACACACATAAACAGTGAATCAGCATGAACATAACTGGCTACAGCAGGGGTATTTTATCATATACAGAATTCTATATCAATACATATCATAATAGGTATATTTTTTGTAGATAAAAACACTAAACCTTTATTTATATCAAAGGCTGCTGTTAAGCACCCAGGGAGCAACTTGGGGTTCAGGGTCTCATTCAAAGACACTTTGACATGCAGACAGAAGGAGCCGGGGATCAAACCCTGGACAAATTAGTAATTATAGACACAGGACTATTTGTATTATGACCTACGTCGTCTTCTGTGTACCTAGAGTTTTTTTTTCTCATTTCCTGATTTTGAATCTCTTTGATTCCTTTCCTTGCTCCTTGAGTTGCATTTTAGGGACCGGGATGTCCTTCAGGATGAAGCGCTGAGGTAGTATCCGGGTCTCATGCTGGAGGATCGAGGAAATGAGAAACACTTTTGTTTTCAGGAAGCTCCCAATCAGTCGTCCTACCCAATCAGCACCACCGGTTCCATCTACAAAAGGCCCTTCTTCCTCCTCCTCCTCCTCCTCCCTTCCTCTCCCTCTCACTCATCCTGCAGGTCTTTTTTATTTATTTTTATTTTGACCTTCAATTAACCAGATAAGTCGATTGAGAACCAATTCTCATTACGATGTCGACCTGGCCTGCAGGGGCAGAGTCTCTCCTCACCACTTTGCTTACTCTTCATTATATTTTACATTACCTAAGAATATTAAATTGTGTTTATCCAACTTTGTTTCCCTCTTACTGTTGCTTTTTCCCTGGCTGTAATTTGTCTTACATACTTTGAAAATAATTACCTTTATCACATCACAGTAATGCAACAGGTTTAAAATACGATCTGCTCATTGATTTGCAACATTGCCCACAATGGTGTAATGCATATTAAAGAGCTACTTCAATATAAACACTACAGAAAGTTATTTTTGATTGAAATTAGTCTTATTACTTACTCGCTGATCAAACCGCTTGATAAATAACTTCAACATCATTCGATATCCATCGCAATATAATAAAATCAACTTTTGACCAAACAAATTAATAAAAACATAGTTCATTTTAAAGGACCATAACTGGCTCCCTCGCTGCAAATCACAGACTTTACACAGCAGCTATCCATTTTGCCAACCATACTCTTCTGTTCCAGGGGTCTCTTGGTTTCCATTCATTTCCATAAGATATGACAATATACTATCAGACAAGTTTGTGGTATTGGGCTATTTTGGTCTTCAACCATAAAAAACTTGTAACACAAAAAAGAATTGTCTCAATCAACCTGGGGAAGTTTCATGGTGTTCTTTTTTTTAATGTAATTGAACTAAACATATTTTTAAAGGCCGTTTTCTCAAAATGAATTTTTTCTCAGACTCTGATCCAGAAATCTCCACTTCAGCAGCTCTTACATACAACAAACTTTACGTTTCATTCCTCTCTATATTCTGAAGGTTTCTACAGAGGGGTTTGTTCATACATATCATTCATAGCTTACAACTATGAATGATAGGTACAACATTTTGTCCCTAAAAACATGCTGAAAATTAAATTTATTTTCATAGCTGTTGACAGTATTTTATGATGTATGGAGTGACACAAAGCGATATCCAAAATTCCCTCTGTAAAAACTTTAGATTCTAATATCTCAACAACATGAAACAATAATTCTGAACCTGGTTCACATTTATGTTCTGGAAAATGTATGGAAACTAGCTAATATTTCATCAGATAATGCCTAATTTTCATATTAAAAAATAACAAAAACCTGTAATACAAAAAAGAATTGTCCTAATATGAGTAATCTACTGGGGACGTTTCATGGTGCTATCTGTTATTTAAGATGTTTACACACTTCACCTGTAGTGTCTCTTATACTGCATCACAAAACGATTGTTTGACTTGCATTGTTAAGTCAGAACGCACATCTCATGACTTCTGAATGATCAGAAACAATGTGTGTGATGAGTGGAATACATCTTTAGCATCATAGAAACAATACAATTCAAGAAACAGAAATACGAGGTACATTTTGGTTACAGTGAATATGAAACTTTGCTGCTTACTTTAGAAACAATAGCTGTGCCACTGTCCCCGCCATGACAGCGTTACGCACAGACTATGAGGAGTTGTGCTCCTGCGTCACCTTTTAACGCGGTCCTAACGTCATCCATCAGTGAGTGAGAAGTGTGTCTGAGGTCTTACCGGTCTCGATGGCAGAGCTGTGGAGGGCCATAAAGCCGAGCAGGAGGAGCAGCCTGAGCAGCCGCCGCCGGCAGCTCTCCGCCTCTGCCTCCTTCATCACTGGGCTGAGGCACAAGTGCGCGGAGGAGAGCTCACAGAGGAGACACCGGACTCATTCCTACTGCTGCACGTCACGTCATATGCGTTCAGTGAAGGAAAAGATACAGTGTGTGGTATCTACACTGTAAAAAAGTCAGTCAATTTTACGGTGAAAAACTGTCAAATCACAACAGTAAGAGACCGTATATTATAAACATGTTGTTTTCAGTTTCCATGACAGTGAAACACCATAAATATATATGTCAGCCGTAAACAAAAAACAGTTGCAAAAAACCCATACCGTGATGTCTTATACATTGTCACTATATTTTTTACGGTGAAGTCCTGGCAACCACAGCTGCCGGTAATTTACCGTTGAGTTGCACTTTTCAAAAAAGTGCCGTAATATATCATACAGTTGTACTTCGTTTTTTTATGAGAAAAACTGTAATTAGGTTCACAGTATAGTTGCTGTTTTTAAAATGATTTACCATAACCATGTTTATAACATAGCTGCTATTTCTAAAGCAAATGACCATAAACAGGTTTATGATATCAAAAATAACAAAAAACAGTTCTCAACTGTGAAATCTACGGTTGCAGAAAAAACATACCGGGATGTCTTATACATTGTCACTTTATTTTTTACGGTGAAGTTCTGGCAACCACAGCTGCCGGTATTTTACCTTATATTACACAGATTAATTTTTTTACAGTGTAGCTGTGAGTTGAGGACAGCCCTGCTCTCTATCATAATAGCCTCCTCTTCTGGCTTTTATTCCAGTTGAACCTCCTCTCAGTACCGTGCATTCATGTGTCCCTTTGTCTCCATGACAACGCCGAACCAATCAGCTGTCAAGCCAGGAATAAACAAAAGTTGCCCCTCCTGATGTAAACTTCCACAATTGTGTCTATGTTAAGTGAGCTTGCATGCCCTGTAGGCTCCTTCTTCCTCATGAGTGTTACTTACACGTGTCAAATAAACGTTTAGAGGTCCACTGTGTAGCATTTATGGAGATCTATTGGATCCTATTGGAATATGATATTATTATGTATTCTCTCTAGTATATTCACCTGGAACTATGAACCGTTGTATTTTTTGTTAGGCCAGAATGAGCATTTATATCTCCATCATGGATGTGTCGAGAGAAGTGGATACACCACATTCATTCTTGTGACCGTTGTTCAGTGGTGCGTAAATGAAAATAAGTTAGACTATTGACTATAACGTTCATATAAAATGATCCCTAGATCTTCCAGCTATCTTCTGCATCAATGCAGAAGGAGCACTAGCATTTAAGCCCCGCCTCCCAGCCCAGCCTCGTTCTCATTCACATGAATGGCAGAAGGAAAATAACTCTGGATTAAGCTAGTAGTGCATTTTACAACTTTTAAGACCTAATGATTTAAATAAGGGCTATCTAAGTTTTCCTACTTGGAAGTTGATTTACCTAATATATATATGTATATATATATATATATATTTATTATCTGCTTATTCACAGACGTCTAGGTCCCAATGTAAGTCAATGGGAAAAGGTTTGTAATTCCACTTTTTGGACACTATGTTAAATTAGCTTCAAAGGCTGGCGCTCTTCCTAGGGGATTGATCTACACACCGCCATGTTTCTACAGTAGTCCAGAAGGGACAAACCAAACACTATATGGGTCATTTGCATTTTCGTGTTGACGTGCGGGTCACCATAGTTCTCCTACATGTTTGGGACATCCTTTGGTTGTAATTGCAACCTCACCGCTAGATGCCACCAGAACTTACACAGTGGCCCTTTAATGCTTCTCAACTGATCATCTCAAATATATATCCTAATTTATTTGTTTGTTTCCAAACTATCTTTTTTAAAGCATCAAAAAACATTCGTCATGAATCAATAAACAGAAGGGAATAGTGGGGACTATTTCTTTTCTACAGTATATGTGTTCATGTTGATGAAGGAACATGAGACTCACTGATGTGTATTAATGGAGCTATGGGACAGAGGAAGAATCCGGCTTTGTTACACACACAATACTTAATGTTAATAAATACATTTGTTGTAAGTTTGGGTCTTTTCTTGGGATTTGGTTACAATAGAATAAAGACATTATTACCAGACATATCTTTTAAATTGGTTGTGCTAAGACACTTCTTAGCAAATTAAAATCTCTTCACTTGTGAGATTTCAGAAGAACTCGGGAGGCTGTGGCCAACCTGCTTCTAAGCTGCATTTTGTGAAGGGAAAACTATTGACTTCATTTCCAGCACAAAACAAAAACAGTTGTGTGACTTAAATTCAGACAGCGATGATAAGAAGGAGTGAGTGTTCAGACGGGGATCAGGTAAAATTATTTTCATTCAAGCTCTCATTCACTACGGACGATTAACCTGAGAAGAAGCTGCAGAAAGCCCACGCTGACCCAAGAAGAACCCAGAACTCTGTTGTCACCCATACCTGCAAACTCATGAGAGGTGAAAAAGGTGACAAGCCCGAAACCCTGTCGGGGGGAGGGGGGGTGCATGCTTCGAGATTTTTATTTTGAATATGAGCTTTAACATGTAACATTCTGATGTACTCTGAGAATCAAATTAAGTGATAGGACAATATTTACTTTAAGCAAAAAACGAATTTATTATTCAGTGATTAATCAGCTGGCTAGTTAGCGTCTTTTTTTTTTTTTAAATCAATATTATTATTATTATTATTATTATGAACCTTTATTTAGACAAAATCAATTGAGACCGAGGTCTCATTTTCAAAAGTTTTAGTCATATAACAACGATAGCAAGAGTAGCGAGAACCATCGCCTGTACAAATAAAGTGATTAGTTTTCATTGAACCCTGTTACTGTATGGCTTAATATTAACTTCCACTGTTACTCTAAAGCTGTTAGAATTGTGGCCTATCTTCTATTTGCAATTAATATGCATTCAATCCAGTTCAATTATATAAATGAAAATGATAATCTACTCTGGCTAAAATAATTTATCAAGAGTAGCTGTGATCTATACACACCTCTGCATTAGCAACCTGCTGAAATTAAGGTACAGGCACCTTAACACCTCATTACTTCAGGGTTATTGGGAGCAACGTGGGACTGTTGGGACTGTTAGTACACTGGCTGTGGTCATTACAGTGAACGGTGTGAACAGTGTGATGAGAGGGCATGTGAGCCCTTGTTGCTGTACTTTATCTCCTTGGAGCAGAGGCTGCATTTAGCATAGCCTGCCTTATCAATGTATTTAAAAGTTTTAAATACATTGATAAGGCAGGCTTCCAGCTTCCTGCTGTCACAGTGTTTTAAATTAAAACACTGTGACAGCAGGAAGCTGTACTCACATCTGTTTAGACCTCCACCTTTATCCAGGCCCAGCTCCACTCACATCACAGCCCTGCGTCAAGCTGCGCTACACAGACAGTCTCCTCTTCCTGAAGCTCTTTGACCTCATCATCTCATCAGTATCTGGGCCTCACTTTTCGTTATCTTAAACGTTATTATGACCATGAAATCGTCTCATTCTACTTTGAGTTAAAAAAAACAAACCTGCCAGCAGATCCGCCGGTGTTCGGGTTTAAAGTTAATGAGTGACCGCGTGAACTGAACCGGAACATTGCATGTTTCATAACATTACGTTTCTTTCCTCCTAAATCACGATAATGACGAACGTTAACAGTCGATAAAGTTTTGCATGCAGCGGACGTTAACTTAACCCAGCAAATCTGAACGGTAACGGAACATAACGGAACTTAAACTGTAACGGAGGGAAATGAAGACGCTGTAGACATCTTAACGCTGATTGGCCAAGACTCGACACATCAAAGATGTTTTATTGCGAAGATCACGACATCATCTTTCTCCTCATATGACTCCAATCTGAGAAACGCTGGCTGGCCAGTTGACCCCCCCCAAAAAAAAACAACTCTACGGAACTACACGATTCACGTGGATGACATATTTTGATTCAAAACGGTGAATTTCACCGAAAAGTGACAAGTTTGCAGATATGGTCACCTCTTGCTGCAGGCAACAGTGTTAACCCCTGCACCACCACGCTGACACAGATATTCACATCAACAGGTTTTTCTTTGGGGGACTGGACCCTTTAAGTCAAGTACAGGTGGCCCCGACTCCTTTTTTTAGTTCACTGGTTCTCTTCATCCACACCAGACAAAAAGTACCAACACGTTGTTTAAGACTCTTCTCAAAGTGAAACTCAGCTGCTCCTGTAATACTGAGCTCTCACCTCTGAGCACAAACCAGCTGTGTTTGACTCTGCTTCCCTCTAGTGGATCCAAAGAAATTAACAAATAGAGATGAGAAGTTGTCTTACTGTATATAAGGATAAAGAGGTGTCTTTATCGAACAGTGGAAGTCAGTGAAATTGGTAGCATACTGAATGTTCTTTCAAATCATTCTGATAACTCTTGTTTGTAGAAAAATGAAACTATTGGGGTTAAAATGGTAGCAAGGTGTATCGCTGTCTAAATGATACTACCACTAGGATTTTCCAGGGTCATTTCTATATTCTAATACGCGGCATTAAAGACTTGAACATCTTGAAAAATGACATTATACATGAAGGAGATTTAGCCCCGTTCAGTGGCCTCTGGAAAAGAGGTGTACACCTTCAGTATGTTGCAATGCCTGGCTTCTATCCTCTGGTCACTCTGTAACAATAACACAAGAACACTCTGCCTCTCTAGTGTTATGAACAACTCAAGTTTTTACTTTAGAAAAATAACACTCCAGTACGAAAGTGTTGAGGTTTTTTTAATCTTACAAAAGGTTGGTTCTTAAAACACAAATAAAAAGATACAGAATATTTTAAAAGATAAAGATAAGTTAAGAAGCAAATCATTTTCAAAAGCATATTTACAAAATATAATTATATATATGATTAGTCCCGATACTACACAGTGGGTAAATCTAGTGTTGTACAGTGTTGGTCATCCCTAGACCATCAGTCTGTAGGTCATCAGCAAGAACCTCGAATGCAAGCGGGCTCTGAACCTGCAGTCTGAAAGTGAACATACCAGAGATTATTAAAAAGAAGCCAAATATGTTAACAGGAAATAAAGGGGCCTAAAAAGAGAGTAAGAAGGATAAAAAATTACGAAGAACTGGACAGCCGAGAATAAAAAATGTAATTAAATAAAAGCAGCAGTATCTTTGGAGTCATATGTTGAATGCATAGAAATCCAGCAGCTGATCTTTCCATCTGTCAGAACTTCTCTCTGTTGTGATAAAAGTAGGCAGCGTTACATTTCTTTCAAATTTGAGTCTATTCAACATTACATATATATTTGTATACATATACAGTGAGTTACTTAAGGCAGGTAATCACATAATACAAACTTTTTCACTGAGGACTCACTTTATAAAAATGACAAACCATCACCAGGAGAGGGAATGTGTGCGTAAATGAACGTTCCTGACCATCTCCACATCACCTTATATTTTCTAGAAAAGGTAAACCAGCCATTTAGTAGAGGTACATGTTTGATAAATCACAACTTTGTTGTATGCATGTTATTGAAAACATATACACATGTTAAACTTGTAAAATAAATGAATTTACACAGACTCATTCTTTTCGTTCCCTCTCATCAGCTAGGCAAACAGAATGTACATTACTCTTTCATATTAGATTCAATGTTATAAAGTAAACTAGAAAATTCTGCAGGAGCTTTTGACAGTGTGGCTGCTACTGCCCGAAGACGTCGCAATATATATACACGCCGATATTACCGGTAGTAACTAAGCATGTATTTTCAAGGTACACCACATGCTCTGTGTGTTTCAGTGTGAGAGACATGTAGAGAATACATTGGTTGTATTGCCTTGTTTAATTACCATTGCAACAGGAAATTAATCAATGAATGACTGAAAGAATGGTTTTTAAAATGTATTATCAATGTATCATGCAATCCAACCCACTTACAAGTAACCACTTGGGCTTACAAGTAACCAAAAATTCATACAAGGCAGGACCAGAGTGCAGTGTACACATTTAAGCTAATTCTGAGCTTCATGTTAAGATACAGTTACTCCAAGTGGCTTTTATTTTGAAAGGGTGGGACTGGGTTGGCGAGAGGACACAGAATCATAATGTTGGACACACATACACAAAGGTTATTAAATGACAAGCGTGTGTGTGAGAGAGAGAGATTGCGGAGCAAGAGAGAGACAGACAGAGAAACAGACATACATGAGGTCTAACAATGCCTTTGACTGAATATCTCCAAGTCCTGTGTGTGTGTCGAGAGAGCGAGAGCGAGAGTGAGAGAGAGAAACTGGTTGCCATGGTGAGGACGCACCTGGTTGGAGGGGCAGATCGATTAAGAAACGTTACAGTCAAAGTCCTGCGCGGTGATGTTTGTGGTGTTCAAAATTTGAGCTCCAGAGCAATATACAAAACTGGTACCGTCTGCTTTCTTTGCGAAATTAGCAGTAAAATGGTCTAATGGAGCAGTTGGTTGGAGTTCATGTCGCTCTGCGGCTCTTTGAGCCAAATGTGTAAGTCCGTTGGATTCATTAGACATCTGTGTGCGACAGCACAACATTTCCAAGCTTTTTGGCCAAAAATGGTGTATAAAGAGTAAAAATTGTGGGACTCGGCGCAATTTGTTCGTAAAAATCACAGAATATTTTCATGCTCCGCTCCACTCTGACAGTTATGCCCTCACTCTAGCACTGAACATTCCGTGCAATACACACCCATTATAAAATCTGAAACGGACCCAAAATTTTCCTGAAACTTAATCTGTGACTTAATGAAAACTGTGCTAGCTATCAAAATGTCCATTTGGCTCAATAAATTGCAGCGTTTTGTCTACATTTTAACCTTTGAATGATTTTTCTACGTTAATGTATGGCTAGTCAATATGGGCCCAAAGTTAAGTGTTTTTTAGCTCTCTTCACGCTGAAACCCCATTCAAGTGAATGGAGAAATTTTGCTCAGATTTTCAGGATTTTTGGGAAAACCGCTGGGCGAATCTCTGAGAAAAGTCATTGCACACGATTCCCGATCAGGCCGCACATTTTGATGTATTTTTTGCGCAGCTGTTGGCAACACTGTGTGAAGAGAAGCGTGCCAAACTTTCTGGATAAACATTATTATTATTAAGCCCGATGGATTATATATAGTGTGCTTTAGCACAGGCAGTTGTATTGCCTTTGTGCTACAAAGCCACACTGAACTACAATTATCTGAACTATATGAACATTCAGGCTCCCTCATGTGGCTCAGATAGACTGCAGATATAAATGCTGAATAAAGACTATGGAAGCAATTCAGCTAATTTAATTGGCGAACCAAATAAAATCTCCTGCGACCCACTTGCTGGTCCCGACCCAGTGTTTGGGAACAACTGCCCAAAAATAGATTTTACATGAAGATACACTGGTTTATATAGGCCTGAAAAAGCAATAATGCGCTTGTGGAGAGGAGGTTGAAAGGCATTTTGGGAAATAAAATACTTCTAACTAAAGTAGACAAGGCAGGTTGGTACTGAAAGACTTAATGATGAAAATCATAAAATAATGCAGTGGACATCAGAGGCTGACTGTATGTGACGGAGAATATCAGTGAATGTTTCCTTTTATGTCCATAAATCAATCCATGGTTTTAAACAAAACCTCCTCTGTACTATTCCATCTAAGGACATCCCACATGTGCTTTCCAGATCCAATTTCTTTCATACTGCTAATTATAAATCACATCTGACCTCCAGTATATTATGTTACATAACGCACTAATTTTAGCAGGGCACAATAACAGTCCTGCATTCAGTTAAATAAAGGTAGTTTAAGGGTGGCAAGGTGTGAAATTATGAGCATTAATACAGCATCAAACCACTATTGTTTACGTAAAGACATAATGGAGTAATGTCTACCTAAGCAGAGAAAGAAGTGTGTTGTAATATGAGCTCCTCTGTGCTTTGTTTACCAAAGCCGGGCCGGCAGTGCGTGTATGTTGGTCAGGACGGGGGGGAATCTTCGTCATGAACGTCATTGATTACTAAAATAAGTGGATTTGCATTATGTGCGTCGGCGTGTTGACTGTATGGATGCACCCGGTCAAAGCAAGCGTACCTCCAGCTTGAAAACCTCGCCAACCATCCTCGAAAGCAGCGGTCCAGTTAGAGAGAATCTCCTCATTAAAGGTCCGGAACATCACAATAATGTTTTACTTGTGCTATGATTTAGTCCCATGTATATTGAAGTAGCTTTTAAAAATGTGACTCTTAAAATAAAATACTTAATTTTAGAAAAATGAATTGAACTGAATTGCCCTGCAGCTTTATATTCGGTTTATTCAGGTGTTAAGTGATGTCAACGAAAAAAGCCACGACATCCATATTTTTCTCATCTTCTAAAAAGAGAAATGTGTGTGCAGGGGCTTTCTCTGTGGTTATTAAACCACTTGTTTCAGCTATATTCCTCTCTGTTAACATTATTGTTGGACAGTGAATTCATGAGTTAGGTTTCTGATCATATTGGGCTCTTAGATCAATTATTTTTTGTGCCTTCATTTTGGATGCGAGATGGTACGTTTGCTCAAAATATTTGTGCTTGGTCTCGTGGTGGCGTAGCGACAACAACGCTAGCTAGGTAGCATCAGCAACCTTGTTAAGCCTTATGCTGCGTTCGCACCAAACGCGGCGCGAATTATTCGCGCGATTAGATTACATACAAAGTCTATGCACAGATGCGATGAGACTGGCGCGGTGCGAATTTGCAATGGCGCAGCGCGATGGACGCGAATTTGCGGCGCGATGGACGCGAATTTGCTTGAGTTGAAATTTTTCAACTTCGGCGAAATATTCGCGTTACGCCCCGGCGCTTTAGCCTATCAGCGTTGAGTTGATAGTTATTTCGGAGTCCCTTTTTGTCGGAGAAGACAAGTACAAATCGGCATCATTATATAGTTATTTTAGAGTCCCTTTTTGTCGGTTTATTGCTGTTAAATCACAGCCAAATCAGTTTATTTTGTGTTCATACAGCTGTAGTAAACAGCAATGTGTGGCTTGCTAGACATAGTGAATACACTTAGATAAAATCCACAGAGCTCCTCTGGACAATATTATGAACCCAGATATGACGGCGTTTAGTTTCCCAGGATATCTGTGACTTTCACAACACGTACTAAGCAGAAATAGGTTATTTTTTCATGGTTAATGGCGGACAGTTGAACGGCTTTCAGGGCGATAAGCCCCGCCGCCTCTCCGGCGCGTCCAGCGTGATTCGCGCGAATGTACACAAATGGTCCCCGGCGAGACCGGCGGCGCGATTGACGCAAATATGCGGCGCGATGAATTACTGTGTCTGTGGGCATCTACAGCAGCAGCGTGTGGTTTTCTGACTCATAACTACATTAGCATTGCTGCTGCTGTGGCTAACAGAGTCTAACTGGCCACATTTGGTAGCAGTTGTTGAGCTTGATAGCTCAAGAGAGGCAGGGGTACGTGATTGGCTGGTAATACAGAGGGCGTTGACCATACCACCATCAAGAAAAGTGACTTTGATCATGTGATTATGAAACAAGAGCTTCAAAGTTTTGAAATGGGTCATTTTAAAATAGAATGTAGGTAATTAAACAAAAATCAACTAATACAATGTATGAATGATTCATAACAAAATTACATTTCATAATAATGAGTTTAAACAATTTATCCAATTAATTCACAAATTGTTGGTTCATTTATATATTCTACACAATTTATTTATCTGAATATTCATAGAGTTTGCTTTGTGGGCCAATGGCATCAGAAAGCGTGAAACAGAAACAACAGGTATGGCTTCATTTTCGTCTAAGCTGTTGCAGTGCAGAGCAATCTGCTCCTTTTGCACTACTGGTCAGTGTTATGATGTCTTCATTTGTATAGGCTACTGTACATTTGTACGGATTGTGTTTCTTACACTAACCAAACTAAAGGGCAGAATGTGGGGCTGCAGTAATATATTATTGCTGACACTGCAACACTTTCTCCTACAAAATCAACTTTTTCTCAATCAGGTTACGAGGGAAACCTATTTCCTCCCGGAATTAAATATTAACGTTGTAAATTCAAACAAAACGCAACAAAATTACTTGGTTATGTTTAGTAAAAACATCACGTTTGGCTTAAAATAACTATATTTCTTACGTTATTTAAGTTACGGTCCTAAATAAAAACAAATCAATGTGGACTTTTGGATTCACATGGGACGTAATCCGGGAGGAGTTATATTTTTCTGGAAACATAACTGACAATGCAGTTTTGTTGTATGTGAATGTCATTTTTAGGCTGGAAATTGACCTTAAATCAAATACTGTATATAAGCACTAGCAAGTGTAACCCATACCTGATGATTACTTCAATCAATAAAACCATTTGAACATTTTGTTATAGTTTATGTTAGTGTCTTGTAAAACAGCATTTCCGTCCCTTCAACATGTTGAGATTAGATTTATACACGGGTGTCTTTCCTCATTCCAGTGCACCCAGTTAAAAACTGAAGTATTATTTAGCTTTGAGGTTGCTCTAATGAATCCCGTTGATGATGTGATTGTGCAGCAGCTCCTGTTCATGGTTGTGAAGGGTGGGGTTCACCTCCTCGTCCCTCAGCCGAGCGTTCTTCCTGATCTCCTCCAGGGTGTAGTCCTGCACCAGGCTGCCATTCTCGAAAACAGTCACAAGCAGATCCTGAAGAACGCAGAGCACACAGACAAATCGTTACGTACAGGAGGATGAAGATTAATGAACTGTTAAACACATTTTGGCTGTATTAAATAGAAAAAAAATTGAAGAAAATATATAATTTTGCTTTCAGTTTAAAATGTTCATCATTATTCTATCCAGGTACTGTCGTTTGTCAATATTGGTGAGCTTGAAAAGTGTTTAATGGCAACTGTGAATGATTTCTGTGGCTCTGGAGGAGCTTTGTTAATCTGAGAAAATCAAAAGCAAGTAATATCATCATGAGAAGTTGAAGATACAAGATGAGGATGGGGCCCCCTGGTGTACCACACAACCACAACGGCTCCAGATTTATCACCAAAACAATAACACAAAATGAAACAAACAAACGCACAAAAAAAAGAGTGCAGGCTAGGTTGAGTCAACTACTTAAACTACTTAAAATACTTTATCTTTTAATCAGCAGTATAAAAATCCTCTTTCAGTCCCTCTGAATAAGAGACTTGGAGAAGTTCAGACGTTTCCGCAAAACAACCTTCCAGTCGTAGTCACTGCTTGCCGACTGCTGAAGTTCATTTAGATGTGAATAGGCAAACATGTTGAATGAATTCATTTTGGTGAGGAACAATAGAGCGGTGGGCGATTTCTGAGTGGAAAATTTAACTCCTCTGTGATTTTAGCCAGAACAATTGTCATGGCCATATTTAGAGGAGTCAGTTGACCTCTCACCTCAAGATATTAGTGAAAATGTGTTTTCCAAAGGACATGCCCTCATGATTCTCCACGTTCATATCAAATTCAGCTGTTTGTATCATTGACACCATTAAGATCTTTGAAGATGATGAGCGAAGTGTGTGTGTGTGTGTATATA